ATCACGTTACAGGTACCAACTCTGTTTTGTACAGCACACATATCAAATCTATCTGTAACATACAACACAGAAATCAGATTCTGTAAAGTACAACATATATTTCAAATATGTAATATACGACACAGTTACCAAGTCTGTAAAGTACAACGCAGATACTATTATATTATTATTTTTTATTGTGACGTCACGAAAATAGGTGACAATAGTTGATGAAGTTACAAAGAAAGAACACATCATTTTGCAGATCATTGGAAAAGAAGGATTATTAAGTGTGTCTTCATATCGTCTAAAAATCATTAGAGAAACAGATTCTACCACCAAATCTTGTGCAATACGATATTTCTCCACTCTCGACAGTTAAATTTCGGCGAGCGTCGCGTTTTAAATTTGTAAATTTAACTGTCTCGAGTGGAGAAATACCGTATTAGACTCGATACAGTAGAAGAATCTATATAACTTTATATCAAAATTAAATCTTTTGTTGACAAATACATAAAAATTATAGACAAATTAAGGCAAAAAAAATTCAAAAATTCAAAAAGACCAGCTAGAGCAATGAAATAACCGTTGGTTTATATCTTGAATGTAAATTTAAATTTCACAAGTTTCATGCTTCGTCTGCTATGTTTCAGCCCAGACATTGCCAGTATTAAACAGCTCAATGCCTTGTAAAGAGGAATTTGACTGTTTAAATGGAGTTTGTGTTTCATTTCAATGGGTTTGTGATGGAGAAAACGATTGTGAAAATTTAAAAGATGAAGAAAACTGTACAGTAAAATGTAAGCAAGTCAAGTATATACGATGTACTTATTTTTTGGATTGCACACGGTCGTGCTTTTCTCAAGATTGTTTATGATGTCTTTACGCTAAATCCGTTTGATGTGTACTGATTGATACTGAGGTCTGTGAGAACATGATTTATTTTTTAGCTGTAATTGGTTTTGAAGTAGTTTTCAGTAACTGCGAGTATTTTTACATCTATACTGTGTGTCTTTTGTCTTTATGTTAATGTTTTTGTGCTTCGTGCCAATTCAAGCCATTTCAAACTAATTTTGACAGTTCTTTTGGTGTGATGTTGCACCTCTTTCCGAGATAAGGGTGGATGTTGAGCGTTCACAAACATATATACCCCGTCACATTATTTATATGCCTGTCCCAAGTCAGAAGCCTTGTTCAGTGGTTGTCGTTGGTTGCTCTTCGTAATATTTGTTTTTCGTTTATAATTTTGTCATAAATCAGGCCGTTGGTTTTTATCGTTTGAAATGCTCACATTTTGTGATGTTGCAAACATACAACATCTCCTAATTTTCATATTTAATGATCCTGGGAAAAGATCGCCAATTTACATGTACTACTTACACGTAATAATGAAATAAATTTAATTGTCATATAAAAATAAGAAGATGTGGTATAATTGCCAATGAGACAACTCTCCACCAGAGACCAAATGACATAGAAGTTAACAACTATAGGTCACCGTACAGCCTTCAACAATGAGCAAAGCCCATACCGCATAGTCAGCTTTAAAAGGCCCCGAAATTACAAATATAAAACAATTCAAAAGAGAAAACTAACGGCCTGATTTATATACAAAACAAGGAACGAGAAACAAATATGATATACAGCAACAAACGACAACTACTGAATTACAGGTTCCAGACTTGGGACAGACACATACATAATGTGGCGGGATTCAACTAGTTCGTTGGCGCTAAACCCTCACCTTAACCTGGGATAGTGGTGTAACAGTTCAACATAAGAACAAACTATAAAAATCAGTTGAAAAGGGCTTAACTCATCAGATCGATACAAAGCAGAAAGACAGCTAACAAAAACACAGACCGGACGGCAGGGTATTTATACATCCCCACAACAAAAAAGACCCTAAGTACAGATTTCAGAGTAACTCGCAGCTAGTTCAAAGCTTATAACAACTAATAAAAAAATCATGCATCTAAGACTAAAATACATGTATGATTGAATTCAATTGCAAATGTAATCTTAAACATTTAAAACTTTAAAAAAATACGAGCGATATAGTTATAATACGGATAATATTGTAAAAACAATGAAATATAATCATGTCATTGGGTTAAAGATTTTAAAATTTTTACGCACAATTTTGTCATTACAGATACACAGTGTGGCAATTCAGAGTTCCGATGTGATGATGGCTCTTGTATTCCCGCTAAGTGGCGTTGTGATAACAATGACGATTGTGGTGACAACAGCGATGAACATGACTGTGAAGACGTTTTGTCAGGCTGTGGAGGGTTCAGAAACAGGACGGATACAGAAGGTGATATAAGGGGGAGATTTGATTCAACAAATGTTGATAACAACAGAACTTGTATATGGGATATCGTTGTTCCAGGACATATGGTTGGTATATTTTGTGGCAAACATGAATATAGTTTATGTAAGAACAAGTTTCGTTTTGAAGCACGTAGATGTGTCTATGTTTGCCTAAGAACACGTTTGTCATTTGTGTGATAAGATTAATAAAGAAATATAAAAACAAAATCGCCACAAAATGATAGGGTAACTTATACTGCTGACAACTGATAATACATTGAATGTTAGATAATTTGTTTTAATAAAATTAGGAAGAATCAGCGCTAGATAAATATGACATAATGTTACAATATTTATATCAGTTACTCATACTTAAACCAGCCGAACCGCATCTGATACAATCAAATGGTATGATGCAATAATGAAATTTACTTACTCTTACAGATCATAAAGTTACATTTCTATACACGATTCAATATAAGAACATCTGAAAATTGTACAGATGAATATGTTGCAGTATTCCAGGAAGGTGGAAAGGAGATAGGTAAAATATATACATCAAGTTTGTTAAAACAATTGGAAAAAAGTAATAATACTCTGGAAAGATTTTGGATACGAAAATTAAAAAACGTGGCACCAAATGGGATCAATAAAAAGGTGTAGTACAAATCACGCAGGGCTAATAAGCCATAGCATCTGGATGTGTTAGTTCCATTTTGGATGCATACATACGAAGCCTTTATACACCTTATCGGTATTTAGTCTAATCCGGGAAAAACAGTTACTTAGAACACTTCCTATTTGAGTCATAAGGGTCATGTTGTGCCAAAAAAAAGGTCATTAATAATGATGAGAGGAAGGAAAAAGTTAAGAGAGCGAACATTTTTAAAATCTGATAGTTTATGAAGCAATGTTTCAAAGAAAAATTAAAGTCATTAAAAGACTGTGTTTAAAGTGTTAACGATGATTTGAACATGATTATACGAAAAGTTCTTTGCACAATACATTGTTTAAACAGGGCCCCAGTAAGCTTTAACTGGTTTGTTACGTCATAAAAAAGTTGTGTAATTTCAGAACTTATCCAGATTTGAATAAATAGCGATAAGGTCTATTGTAAATACTGCATCTACATGAAATTTGAGAATTTACCAAACGTGGTTCGATTCTTTATTTGTATAACGTTCTTTTTTTTTAAAGGAAAATCAGCAGAGATTAATAAGACTTCAGTTTACATCAACATCATACTGATGAAGGATATCTGTTATTCGAAATATTTATTGAAAGTAATAATTTTGTTGTTGTTGTACACTTTTAAGGCGTATGTATCTATATGCAATACCCTATTATAAAGTTTCTTATATTAGTGGATTGATAAATTAAGAAAAAGGGCGCTTAAATTAGACTAGGAGGCTGAAAAAAATATTTTTGTAAATTTATGATACCTTCGTATTAATTTTTTTCCCGGTCGCAAAGTGTTCCCATGGTGCAGTTCCCGAAAACATGAAGGGAAAATGGCATCATCAGCATCTTCCGAAACCAATCACATTTAACATATATACTTGAAATCTTTTTTTTTACTGAAAATGATATTCAGACTTAAGTTTTGAGTGTGTAACAAAGCGAGAAAGTGTTCTTTATTTACCTTGACGTTATACCGTATAATATCGATGTTTTATGTTTAGTATATTTTAGGGAAATACTGTGGGAGAAAGCGCCCTCCTGACATTGTTATAGAAAACAGTAATACACGGATTGTCTTCAAGGCCATCAACATGACGCAGGACGAGGGGTTTGCTATGCACTGGTCATCAATTAGGTGTATGAATCTTTATAATCTTGTAAATTGTTTAGAGTAATTAGCACAAAATGATACGCAATGGTCAATCGATATATATTGCCGTTCAATGACGATTTTTATCTCATTTTGTGTTTTTGGTTAAAACTCTAGTAGATTAGTGAAACTGTAAACATCAAAAGGAAAAGCAAGATAAGATCTACTAATAAGTCAAAAAGGCAGAAATCGTCAGTCAACCCCTTTTTAAAAATTATTGCCTTTCAATAACGATTTTTACCATTTTATTTGTTTCTTGAAAAAATTGTAGTAGATAGAGACAAATTTTAAGCAGAAAAATATTATCGGCAAAATAAGATCTACGAATAATTAAACATGATCGGAGTGTCGGCCTACTCCTAATCACAGTAAATGCCCTACACAGAAGGACAAATAAAATAGAACAATTGACCAGCAAGTATATCTACAAAAATCAACATGGCTTAAATGGTAAGTCGACTCCTAATAGAAATTATTGCCCTTAAATGATGATTTGTTTTGCATTTTGTTTGCTATAATTTTGAAAACTATTATAGATAGAAAGAAATTATAAACATCAGAAGCGATCAGCAATAACTATCTTCAAATAAGTCAAATGGGTGAAATCGTCAGTCTACTCTTTAAAGGCGTTATTTCCCTTAATGACGATTTTTACCCCTTTTTGTGTCTTTGGCTACAATCTTGAAAACTACAATAGATGCACGTAGAGAGAAACTGTAAGAGTCAAAAGAAATCGTCTGTCAACTTCTTATGGGATTTATTGCGTATCATTGACGTATTTACCCATTTTTGGGTTTGTGGTGAAAACTATTGCAGATAGAGAGAAACTGTAAACATCAAAATAAGATCTTCTTATTAGTCAAGATGACAGAAACCGTCAGAGAACTCCTTGTAGGAATTTTTGCAGTTCAAAGAAATTTTTTACTCATTTTGCATTTTTTGGCACATGAGAACATATAGTAGATAGAGAAAAAAATTGAACAGCAAACATACACCTGGAAGATAAAATATACAATTAAGTCAAAGTAGCTGAAATCGACTCCTTATTTGAGTTATTGCCTTAAAAAAGTTTTTGCCCAATTTTAGTGTTTTTATCTAATATCTCGAAATCGGCTATAGATAGATTGAATCTTTCAATTGGAAAAAAGATCAGCGACAGAAACAAATCAAATGACTCCTGACAGGAATTGTTGTCAGTTTTATACTAATAATGTCAGGCTAGCGATACAGATTCTGTGGAGCCTTAAGTTTGTGAATTCACACGAATATCATATATATATATATTACGTGTTTATACTAGATTTTCTGTATAATCTCATCAATCAACATTGAAGCCTAAATATATATATATGTTCTTGTAACCCACTTCAGAATTGAAAGAAAAGTTCTCACTATAAATACGTTAGTGTTCAAGTTTGTTCTATTTACTTGTGAAGCGATGGCCTATATAATTCTTTCTAGATGTGTCAGTTGAGGTTATTCCGAAGAACACTGGCATCATTAAATGCGTTCCGAATAGTAAAGTTCAACCAATCAGCGGAATTTTAATTTTGACCATATTTATTTTTGATGCAGATTTTTGCATACTAAAATGGAAATATTAGTAAAATAGAAAGCTTTTAGTAGATATAAAACAGGAAATAAGGAACTCTTTTATCAAAAGAAGGGTTGGATCGGGGTTCTGTGTATTCACATGATTTGTATTTCACTCTCTACTCTTGAAACATGTGGTGGTATTTTCCGACCCAAATGGTTACCACAAACTTTATTTCTATACATAGTATAGTAAACATGTATGCAGCTCTACATCGGCCAGAATCGAGGCAAAATTTTACTAAATTCAATAGAGACTACCAACAGTGTGCCTTTGGAATAATTCGTGTGTTATCCTCTTGATTTTGATTTATATCTACTTTATTTGTTGGTTCGGTATTATTTACCTGTTATTAGTTGTTGTATATAAAAGAATGACTGTAGCTGAAAAGTCATAATAAACCACGAAAAATGTGAAACTTGAAAAATGTCCGTTTTTCAACTTTCAATTCTTCATACAAATATAAAACTTAAATGCTTTCAGCATCAACAAGTACACTTCCCACAACAAATCCAGATAGATTGATCTGTAACAAGATTTTTACCATCAACAATGAAACATCAGGACATATTGATACATCAGAACTTAGTCAAACGTTTGACTTCCAATGCCAGTGGTATATTGAAGCTCCGATTAATAATAGAATCCTGTTCCAGTTTACCTACCTTACCCTGAACGAAGATATGTTGTGTTCACATGATTCTCTAATAATATTGGACGGACGGAATTCCAGTAACAAGTATGGTCCATTTTGTGGACAAACTATACCTCCTGATATAGTAACTAGTGATCGCTTCGCAAAGATAATATACCAACTGGATCCTATTAATGGAACTAGTGGATTTCATCTTCAGTTTTCTGCTATAGGTTATTATTTGAATTGTATTAATTCATATTTACTTGAAAAATAACTATTGACCCTAATTGACCATGTCTAAAACATCCATGGAAACTCGATTAAAAAAGTACTGAATATATTATTTAATGTTAAGGATTTTACGTTTTGCATGTTTTACTTCCGGATTTAGAGAATAGCAGTGTTTAAACTGTAGTTATATTTGTCATACAAGTTATTAATAGGATTAAAATATAATATCATAAATGATGAAACTGTTCCCAACGAACCATTTTCAAAAACATTGTCTTTTTCATAATTTTTTCATTTTTCCCCCAGAAATTCCCAAGCCTACAACTACAAGGTCCAGTCCCGGAATTAACTGTTCCCACGATATATATTATCAAAACCCCGGTTTCATTATTTCACCGAATTTTGGTAACGGAAACTACTTTACTAGACTGCATTGTGTTTGGAGGATATTTGCTCCAAAGGGATACGTAATACGACTTCACTTTCTCCAGTTTGACATTGAATATGAATCAGATTGTCTGTATGATGCACTTACAATAACAAATGAGAACAGTATTAATACTTTTTGCGGTCAAACTAACCCAAAGGACATTTTATCAAAGACGAATACTATAATGCTGACTTTTGTAACCGACCATAACATGTCAGGAAAAGGATTTAACATTTCTTACACAACAGAAAACCAGACAGGTACTAGTATTTGAATTTATCAAAATTTAGATCTATAAATGTTACATTTACAAGTATCAAGTTTAATCAAAAACAAAAAACAAAAAAATCCATAAAAACCCACATGGAATTGTGATTTAATACGAACAATAGATATATAATTAGTGATGTTGATGTTAGCATGATCAGAGACATATTTATTCGATTTTACTTTTTTTTTTAACTGTAAATGCGCAAAATCCAAACATTTTAATTTCTCAACTATACTTGAGAACTTTGTAAAAGATGCTTTAAATGCATAAAGATATGTGTTAAATCCATGATAATTCGATAGCTTCAAAACACCGCTTTTGATGCGATAAAAAGACAGGCGAAAGATACCAAAGGGGCATTCAAACTCATAAGTCGAAAATAAACTAACAACGCCATGGAAACAAATGTGAAGAACCAAAAGACAAATAACAGTACACAAAACACAACACAGAAAACTGAAGACTGAGCAACACGAACCCCACCAAAATAAGTATATAAACAAATTTCATGGTTTTATTTCAGAAATTGATATAAATAAAGAGATCGAGGAACAGTGCAGGAATGGAACAATGATGTTTAATAATAATACACACGGGGAATTATTGTCACCAGGTTATGTACTTCAAGTGAACTATCCTGTAAACATAAATTGTTCCTGGATTATAACTGCTCCTCTTGGAAAAGTTATCACACTTACATTCAACGTAAGTAAATATTTGTATTTAGTAATTATGTTAATAGTCGAAAAAGATAAGTATTTACAATCCCAACCAAATGATTGCTTACTTATTAAAAAAACGTCAAGCATCTGGTCTAAAAACGTAAGTTATTATCTCGATGCTAAATGCCATCTGAGATGCATTATCTGCATTATCATTGGTATGGTCATATTCAGTTTTTAATTAACTGTTTACAAAACTTTGAATTTTCAAAATACTTAAGATTTCCTAACCCAGGAATAGATTACCTTAGCTGTATTTGGCAAAATCTTTCGGAATTTTGTGTCCTCATGCTCTTCGATTGCGTACGTTGTTTTGGCCTCTTTAACTTTTTAGATTCGAGCGTCACCGATGAGTCTTTTGTAGACGAAACGCGCGGCTGGTGTACGTTTAAAAAATTTTAATCCTGGTTTCTATGATAAGTTTATATGCAACGAAAGTTATTTTTCAGTATATTAATTTGGTGACCATAATGTCTACTGTGATTTAGCCATTATCTATCAAAAGACGTGTAAAATTTACTACATTATATAGCTTAGTTATTTCCTGTGTACTATCTTGTTTCTTGGTTTTTTTTTATATTAAATAATCCAGCATGTATGATGTAAATAAAGGCGACGGTACTTTACCGATGTTCAAATATCGGAAGTCGATTTCCATGAACTCCAAAAAGAGCAAGACCGGGTGCGTCGACAGGTTAAGTTAACCAGTTATAAAGTGTATTTAAAATATCATCTTACACAGGTAAAGGAGCAACACCTGTTTCACGTTTAATTATAAAACGTACATAAAATGTATTTTTCTAACCACGTATGAAAAACCTACGTTTCAAAGAGGATGTTTTACACATGTAATTAACATGCGTAGAACATGCATATAACGTATTTAAAACAGAATAGACGTTTGCATTAGGTTACAATAGTTCCAGCAAACGACATCTTTGGACGCATGTTTTACAACAATTAATGTATGCTTTTTTTGTCAAAAAAGTTGCGAACGTTGAACATCCGCTATAAGGGTTTACAAAATGTATGTTTTTAATGTGTAAACTGTCTGAAGCATACGCACATTTCCACGCATGGTAACAAACATACATTTTACAGATACTTGGAAGAATCATCCGTCAAACGTACGTTGCTGCTTTCCCGATGTCGAAAACATAATTTACTATTTAAAAAGAGATTATGAACACAACAATATTTTCAGGACTTTCATATTGAAGGCGGCAAAAGGGAGAGCATTTGTTCTTACGACTCGTTGTCAATATTCAACAGGGTCGGCAGTATGACCACGTTAATCAGAACATTGTGTGGATGGAATTTCCCGAACAAACTAACTTCGACCAGTAACCAGTTGATTGTAACATTCTACAGTGACAGTACTAAAACATTATCAGGATTCAACATAACCTATGATGTACATGAACCTATTCGTAAGTTTACAGTCAAATAATACGTAATACGCTTAAACCAAAAATCACAATGAAAGATGTTAGGTTAACCATATAGAAGTATGAAAAGTATATAGATATGAAAATCAGAAGATATGGTGTGATTACCAATGAAACAACTCTCTACCAGAGACCAAACGACATAGAAGTTAACAACTACAGGTCACTGTATGGTCTTCAACAATGAGCAAACCCCATACCACATAGTAAGCTAAAAACAGACGATCATAAATCGCCCAATAATTCTATAATGGAATACTATTTCTGATTTTTTATATCCATATAGGAAACATTAGAAATAACTGCATTTAGATTTCAACAGGAATATTGTAGAGGCAATTACATTTATACATGATGCGATCGCTACATTTTTACACGGGTTTCCTTCTGTGTCGAATTTTTGCGAAGACCTACCCGAAACACTATTGTCGTAATTCATGACGTTATTGCACAGAAGAAATGAAGAAGAAATGAAGCACTTGAAAAAGTATGTATCGAAATCGCATAAAAAGTAAAAATTATTTTTCAGTGCCATGTTTGTCATCCGAGTTCAGGTGTGGCGTTGGGGATTGCATCAATTCTTCATTGATTTGTAACAATATAGCTGATTGTAGAGATGGGACCGATGAAATCGTCTGTAGTAAGAAGGCAAAATAACATTTTAAATAATACTTTCATAATTAATTATGATTAAACAGCTAGATATAATATGAAAAAAATGTAACGTTTTCTTCAATTCTTTATATACAATTAAAAAACATTATTTCGGTCATATATTTACAGTAATTTCTCATTCTTGGGAATTATTCCGTTACATCTTAAGCATTTCAAAATCGATAAAATTTGTTGCATTTTTTAAAATGATGCATCCATGTATGCCCTGGTGTGGTATTGGTACAAACGTTCGAGCTAATCGGAATCAAAGACATTTGCTGTAGATTCAAAGAAACTGAACTGTATTTCAACCATAAAATTCCAATTTTTTACAATGTTATGTTTTCGACTGACCTCATCTGCCCATATAAATATTTTCTTGTTGCTACGATCATGTTCCATGCCTATTAATCTATGCCATCGTGTTGTGATAACCTTCCACTATGCATAGTAAATTGGAACCCACCCTATGTCTCCTATGACATAACAAAAATGTATGAGACCGATTTTCGTCCGCACGGCACAACGCGTGTTTCTGGAATAACCTTTATGGAGTATGGACAAGACAACAAATAAGAAATACCCACAATATAAAACGTTTGATAGCATAAAAACAAAAAATAATAAAAAAGTTTAAATGTGTCAACATATTTGTTCTGCCTAACAGAATTTCCCCTGGAAAATTTTATATAATCAATTCCATAATATCTGTTCCTGTTGAAACAAATATTATATACCCTTATATCAGGAACAAATTCTGTAATAGTGTTCCAGTGGAAAAAATCTTACAGAATATTTCTTCCTTTTGGAACTATACTATGAAAAATTTCTATTTCATGACAAAAGAACCACGACCGTCTAAGGCTGATTTTGTCTGACGGAGGTGCAACCTTAAAGTAGCATTAATTATGCCAGAATGTCAGTTCAACAAATTGATAGATAGCACAAGAAATAAACGATATGCTGTACATGGTGTATTAGGGGGAGAAAGAAATTAAATAGAAATAGTAGGAAATATATAGTGACATAGCAAGCGAAACACATGAGCTCCATATACCTTTACAACATACCGAATAAAAAATGATTTCAAAGATGTTTAAGTATCTTTACTTGGTGGAGATACATTGTTATATTTTTTATGTTATATATCTGGTAGAATATAATATAAAGAACCAACGTGTATTTTCACTGAAACTCTTACGAGACTGTAGGGTCCCTGTTTGATACACATGTAAATATATATTGAAATGTTTAATTATATTTTTGTAGTTATTCTGTTAAAAAATCATAGAGGTTGGAAAAATTATAATCAATGAAAATATTGAATTTTGTAATTCGTTTAATTTTTATACAGGTTCAGACCACATATTTTGTGGTAGCCCATCCATTCCACCAGCAAACGTAAGTTTCAAAATCGTCGGCGGAGAAAAAGCTAGACCTGGTAGTTGGCCATGGCAGGTCTCCCTTCAATATAAGGGTGTTCCTATGTGTGGAGGCAGTCTTATACATCCAGAATGGATTGTTACAGCATCACATTGCTTTGAGGGAATCGAAAGGTTTCTTTCATCTTAAATATTTCCATTTTCTTATCTTTATGAGCTGCTAACTTATATTTGAGCAAACAGATTATTTTTGTTTTCTTCTGACTCGAAAAAAAGTATAACAAAAATACCGAACTCTAAGGTAAATTCAAAAAGGGAAAATCCATAAAAACTAATAAAATCAAATGTTTCAACACACGGAACGAGTGAAAACCCAACTTGGTACAAGGATTTTCCGAGAAAAAGGGTGTGTTTAAATGTGAAAAAGACGTCAACAAGAAAGTCTTCCTAGTTGATAGTACAAAGAGTATGTAGTAAACAAAAAAGTAAAAATTAAGTAAAATATAAATACAGGGAAAACAAAATGGAAACAACACTGTAAAAACGTCTTGCGTCCGAATCGCACCTCGGGACCGACCTGCACCAGGAACGCCCAAGGTAAACCAGATAGCGGGGTCCATACATACTGAGTCACGTCAACAGTCATACGACCAAAAGTAAACCAGATAGCGGGGTCCATACATACTGAGTCACGTCAACAGTCATACGACCAAAAGTAAACCAGATAGCGGGGTCCATACATACTGAGTCACGTCAACAGTCATACGACCAAAAGTAAACCAGATAGCGGGGTCCATACATACTGAGTCACGTCAACAGTCATACGACCAAAAGTAAACCAGATAGCGGGGTCCATACATACTGAGTCACGTCAACAGTCATACGACCAAAAGTAAACCAGATAGCGGGGTCCATACATACTGAGTCACGTCAACAGTCATACGACCAAAAGTAAACCAGATAGCGGGGTCCATACATACTGAGTCACGTCAACAGTCATACGACCAAAAGAAACATAATCGCACTAAGACAAATAAAGGAAAAGTGTTTCTTTATTCAACTACCAGTTTACTATTCAGACTGTCATATTCATTGCATTTATTTTCTTTTTTAATTTGTCCAGTATGAATTTTATTATTCAATACTTCTCATGTCATTATTTAACTATTCAATAAATTCAAATTAATGTCAAGCGTTATGGTTACCGGAACTTTTGATTTACCAAACCAGGTACTTCATATCTGAGAAACAGGCAATAAATGCCCTCCTTTTTAGATTTCATCAAACATTTTTTTTTATTATTCAAAACTATCAGTCAAAAGGTGTTCTACAAGGATCACCAGTCCTTCACAATTCATTGGATGCCTTAATTACCAACATATATTACACATTGTTTGATATTTTAACGTATGCGTAGGAAATTCGTTTACTTTCCTGTATGTTCTTTTTTGACCGGGCCCGAGTTGGTGATGTTATATCTTACAGTCTACTCGAATTATTTACCCTATACATGTATACGTTATTTCCTTGCAAGTTATCAAACATATATCTCGATGTTCCTCGTGGTTGTCTAAATGTTTGTATTGTTTTTGCACGCTTCAGTGTTATTGTCGGGCTAAATTATGACAGTTAATGTTTGATTTCTTTGCCAGATTTATTTCATTGATATTACTCAATGGTTTTGATCTTCAATTCACAGTTGTGGCGTGATATCATCAGTTTGCAAAGAATTCCGCTCAAACAGGGGACGTTCAAAATTTTGCATTGAGCTGAGAGTTTTGGTTCCGTGTTGAAGGCCTCACTTTGACTTTCAGATGAAGAACAGAAATAAAAGCGTTGTTCCTTTGCTTTTTGTGTATTTGCTGTGCATGTACTGATTTTGTGTCATAGATGAATACCAGAATCCTTTTCTTTTCTATTGATCTCTTTATTTGAATAGTGACAGATCGACAAAGCATTGGATGGCACATTTAGGCGTGCATGACATAAACAAAAACGACATCGGTTCAGTACAAGCATCTATAAAATCAATAATAGTACATGAAGGATTTGATTTATCTACCACTGATAATGACATTGCTTTGGTGAAACTACAAGACCTTCTTACACTGAATGATATAATAGATACTGTATGTCTTCCAAAGTTAACAGTCAAAACGGGAACTATATGTTATGTAACTGGATTTGGACAAGTAATGGGTAAATATTAAGATGAGATTTTATCAAGTGTTTCTGAATATAGATAACAGTAGTTTACCAATTTTCAAACCCATAAATCCATAAAGAAGACACAGATCAAGGTAAAAGAGCAAAAACTGAGGTAATCCAAACTCCAAAATGAGCGATGCCAGTTGCATCGACAAGGTAAGCGTCTCCTGCTATACATTCATCACCCGCCATGTGAATACACATGCATCTGATCTATTCTCCAAAAGTAAATTATTTCTTCAAAATTCACAAAAAAATGTTTTTTTTTTACTTTGCGTAATACGCATATTATGTTATATTTCCTAAATTGTAAATTGCAATATATATATATTATATATAAATATAAATTGACGATTAATACGCATATTATTTCCTAAATTGTAAATTGCAATATATATATATATATATAATTTTTACATTATTATTTATAATTTAACACGATTTATTAACAACATCTTCGTATAATACCATCTTATATTAGTATCGTTGTGCAAATCTCTAGACTTATATAATTTTTTTCCTTATCTGCACAGTATCGTCTATTCTAGACGATCCGGTACATAGTAAATTTGCTGGTTGGTCCTTTTTATAGACTTCTATATATAATTTATATATATATAATCCAGTTGACAAATTACTTCTATAAACTCTTCATCGTTAACATATAAAATGTAATACAAGAAGGTCTTTCAACATTTAAAGTTTTACCGTTCTTTCACAAGCTTTAATAACTTTTTCAATTACCCACTGTTAGTTTCAACAACTCTTGCAATGAAGTGTTATTTAATCTCTTGCAATTAATACTTGGGAAATAAGACATATATGGTATGTTGCAAACATGTTTCAACTCTTGCTCGAGAGTAAATCTGTTAAAACAAAGTGTCTCACAATTCAAGGTCATTGGAATATACAGTGTAAAATTAAGGGAGTCTGCAACACAACAAAATAAGCATATATATGTTAACATTACAAATGATTATGACATTTTCTCAATTTATGTTTAATTGATCTTGAATGTTCTATTTATTACGAATTTATTTTGTTGACAAAGGCAACATATCATCAAGTTCCTGTCATGAATTCCTTGCAGTTCAAAAACGACAAAAGACTAAAACTATAGCTTTGTCAAGATTGACATTGCACGATACTGTATAATTACGAATGAATATTTTAGAATCGAATGACCGATTTTAGAAGACTGTACTTCTGCACTAATAAATTCATTTTTAGAATCTTGCTGTCCTGATGTTTTGAAGCAAGCTATGGTTCAAATTGACGATTTATACCAGTGTAATCAAACGTCACATTTACATGGACAAATTACGAAGAACATGATTTGTGCTGGAAATGGTGAAAATGATGCCTGCAAAGTAAGATTCGTGGATGTCAAGTCAATACGCATAAAGCTATTATCAACTTTAAGTTTAAGTATGAACATGTCCAGCAATACACAAATACAAAAAAGTTATTGGTACAATTAGAATTTGTCAGAAAGACCTTCATTGCATCCTGAAAGCCATTAAACTAAGTGTAGCAAGTCTTGCATAATTGATACTGTAATGACCCCTTTTATGAACTCTGTTTAGTCAACCCTGCCACAATTAAACATGGATACAACAATTACTAAATATATAACAAAATACATTATAACGTTCTAAAATATCTTCTTAAAAGTTAGAGTTGCTACCATACTTTGCACATAAATGGAACGTTATTTGTTACCCCTAATTATTTAATTCTCCTAAAAGTCTGCCACAACTTTTATTGAAGAAAGAAAATAAAACAGTAAAATTGTGCTAACAGCCATATTCCAAAAATTTAGTAAACTAATAAATGCATTTCCACAGTATTGTGGATAACCTCCATTGGCAGCAAAAGAAAACATTTATATCCTAATGGTTATTCACGTGAGACATTTTTTTCCATTTTAAATTGAACTATATGCTTTCTTAATTGAATGTCTCCTTTGAATTTCGATCTACTTTGCCAAGTATTTTAATATAATGAAATACTTTTGTTTTCGTATGTCAGGGAGATAGTGGTGGGCCACTTGTATGCCAAGATGATAACGGTAAATGGGAACTTTCTGGTGTAACATCATTTGGTTTTCAATGTGGTGGTAAGTATAACGACTAACTATAGCCTTTAAGACACAAGAAGTTTTTTTTATCTAGTTGTATTTGTGTCTTAAAAATGAAACACGAAGCTGCTGTTTGTGTTGTTTACAAACCTCCATATAAGTCAACTGTATATATATTTTCCTCGGTTCAAAAAAGGTAATTGATCTAAAATTTTTGTTTTGCAATACAATTAGTTTACTTGTTTCAGTTTAAAATAATCTTTGATATTCTTTATACTGCATCTTATCTTTATTTCAGTTCCAGATACACCTGGAGTGTATACTTCCGTTAGAAACTATGTTAAATGGATACAGCAGACAATTGCGGAATATTCTTAATACATCCTTGTTGTTACTAAATTTGTTTCAACATTTACAAGTCATTTTATCGCTGTTCTTTCACATGTATGTGGATTGCTACGTTTGTTTCTATATGGATACTTTTAAATTCATCATGAACTATTTATTTGCAATGACATGTGCCTCTTTTTAATCTCAAAATTGATAAATGCTCCTTTTCTATAGACATTTTTTAAGCATTATTATTATTCTTGTTATTCATTTTATAATAATAACATAAACGGTACCAATTTTTCTGCACCAAATGCGCATTTCATCTAAATAAATAAATCTTTTATAGTGCATTCTTTTATTTTTGTTTTTTCCTTCACTATTTCACTATGCTTAATGCATGTGATACACAGCTGTATGAAGAGCCTTTGAACGCTAATTAGTTTGGGATTTTGAGTTAAAAGAACAAGAACTTGAGGTTCTGAAAACCTTTTGACACACAATCTTATACACAAATAGACTGAAAACAGAGCAGAAAATTGTACTTTTCTGACGACAATGTTAGTCTTTTTAAGTCAACAATAAGTCTCCCACAAAAAATCATTCATAATTATTATGTCGATATCAACTAAAAGAAAGATATTGAAAAGTATTTAAATGAAAAGAAGGTAAAAAAATCAAACATTGAATCTTTTACAATATATGAAGACGAGGTGATTTAGTATCATTTTATCTATTTTAACTGTAGTTGATTGATGTTCTGGAACATTGAAAATGAATTTAGTTTTGAAGCACATAAGTAACATGTTGTCGGATTGACGTGTACCCGATATCTCCTTTTACTCATATTTATGTTATCAAAACGTTTAAGCGTTTAAAGGTTAGCCCTCCTTCGCTGAGTGACAACCAGCCAATGCGAGCAATCAATAATATTTTGTGCTGTCAATAAGTGATTTCATAATAGTGAGTTGACAATAAATGTTTTGTAAATGATCTTAAACCATTATCGAACACGTTGATATTTTGGAATTTTGAAAAAGCAATGTCTATTATCAACTGCAAAATTTCTGTATTGTATGACAAATTTTGAAATACCAGGAATAACAAACACATCTGCATACACGTAGACACTTCATTGAGGTCACTACGTTGACATTGAGAAGAAACTGTTATGTGCCATTGTTTTACCTTCCACACAGGTAAGATGTCTATAAACACAAAATCCCATGTCGAAGAAAGCAAGAAAGCAATCGAACAATCTAACAGCTTTTCAACTTTGTAAAAAAAAAATATGTCCTGGAATGATTCGATGAACGACAATAAAATGTATAGCAAAAATTTGCAAAGATAGGTGAAATAAACAATTCGGTTTGTCAAATATCCATGACAATTACAGAAATAGAAACCACGTTTATCTATCACATCTAATATTTAGAAATTCGCTAACTGAAAAGAGTGTAGAAAATATTGGAGGAGTGATGGCTACTGTCATTGAGAGCTGTCGACAAAAAATGAGCTCTTTCAGTACAGAGGCAAAGAGCTTGAAAAAAAAAAACAGAAAACAGAAAAGAAACATATAAAACAAATGGAAGATAGCCTACTAAATTTAAGGTGGAGATTAATGAAATACCACCTCATTATCTCTTGGTTAAGTTATAAGAAAATATGAAAATTGTGATGAAGAGCCTCAACGTGTTATGCATATAATACTTGGAATAAACTTCCACGTTGGAATTGCAAACGTTCACAAGCCAAGACTCAGTGATGCAAAACCTATTATTGCCAGGTTTATATAAAAGATATAAACGAGGTGGTAAAAAGATCAATACATTAAAAGGGAAGCATTATGGTGTAAATGAAAAGTTTCCGGCAAAAATTAAGTATCGACGAAAAAGACTCTACCCGGTTCTTAAAAAAGCTCGACAAGAGGAAAATAATTCAAACTAATCAGAAAAACGCTTCATAAAAGGTCAACAGTAAAATTAAGGCAACAGTAGTATACTGATGTTCGAATCTCGTAAATCGATTAAGAAGAGACAAATCAAGGTAACAAACAAAAACTGAGAAAATCGCATGAACTCTAAAGGAAAACCGGAGGGAGAGCAATTCTAGATCCACTTGTGGCACCTGTAGAGATGGTCATGGCAAGTAAAACTCGATGAGAAGTTGCATTCAATGATGTCACAGTCGAGGAAAAACGGAACATATCTACGGCCATCTGTGACACAGATATTAATTGAAGGTCCACCGAATCAAGATGAAATTATGCAGTCTGATTCAAAAGAAGAAAGAAATACTCCCTGAAGTGGGAAATACTAAGCATTATAATTTTTAGGCTTATTTTTACACAAAAGAGTTTAGAAATGTTGTGATATCATAGTATTATTTGCTAATAAATACATTGTATACATATTGAGAGCAGTTATCCACCATTCAATTTAATCTTTTCCTCTAAGAACTCTATAATAAAATAGAAGTTTATCACATTTTATGTTTGCCTAATTGGTTTCTCTGTTTCGTTTGAATCAATCCAAAGTTGTAATACGTTCAATTGAAGCAGAACGTGCTTGCGTGCTCAATCGTTTCCTGGCTAGCTAACTGACAAAGAAAGAAATTAAGTACAGTCAGTTTTTCAAAACTTTTTCACCAAACAGTTGGAGAAATAATCATTGTTGTGGATTCATCTGTTAAAAAAGAGAGGCGAAAGATACCAAAGGGATATTCAAACTCACAATTCGAAAATAAAATGACAACTCGTTGAAAAAAACACGAAAAAAACCGAAATACAAACAACAGTATACAAGACACAGCATAGAAAACTATAGACTTAACAATACGAACACTACCAAAAAACCGGGGGTGATCTCAGGTGCTTCGGACGGGTAATAGATCTTGCTCCACATGGGCCACCCGTCGTGTTGATCATGTAAGTACAAACCCGGTGATAAGTCGACTTACAAAGGATTTTCTTTTCACACATACATTTCATTAAATCTGGCACAAGTTCTTTGTTTTCCGCTTGAAGTATATTTTATGCAGATGTTATCTAATTTGAGTTCAGGTTTTTTCCTTTTCCCTGTGCATGATGTTAGCTAGGAAGTGGCTGAATGTCATTTTTTGGTCAAATCGTTTCTCAATACAGTTTTCAAATAAGGAGCAAGGTCTTCCTTTTGAAGTTAGCGTATCGATACTTCACAGGCATATGCAACGGCAGTAGAATCTAACTGCAGGTTGTCTTATGCATGCAAAATCGGACATTGTTGACTTTTAAGGTGTTTCGCTTCATTTACTTAACCAATAGTTTGTATAAATTTGCTGATGTCTAGTTCAATCTCATCTTCCTGCTGAGCAGCTATTAACAATATCCAAGGTCTATGTCGAATATAAGTTTCACTACAATGATATTGACTGTGTTCCACTTTGTGTCACATTTCAATTAGGGTTTAACAGATCCAATCAAATTTCTAAGTAATGGTCCAAGAATTTGGTGATTTCTGAAATATTTGTTAATTTCTACAATTTGATTCATGATCTTTGCTTGTGTGACCACTTATCCACGCAAATTTAACCAATAGGACTAGCATCTATAAACTGTCAACTCTGCTTTAGTTTCTTTTTAATTTGACTTTATTGCCTGCATTTTTCTATCATTCCATTCAAAAAGTTCTGTTGCATCACTAATTGAAGAAAGTACAATGCCAATGCAATACTGTGCAGTTTTCTTATTTGTTTCAGCTTCATCAGATAAAAGGTAGGATTTTCCTTTCATTTGAAGGCTTTATGCAATTACAGGGCTATTATGAATGTCACTCCATCCATTTTGAAACAAAACAGCATTTTGTCCTTTTGAATTACATTTCATCATACTTCCACCAAATCCACTAAGCTAATCTGTCTTAACTTAGCCGTCTTTGGGGTTAAATATACCATAGTGTCATGTATTAAGTTATATCTTAATTGGATAATGCAATTGCTAATCACACGGCATAATCAACATCATAAGGGGAAATAGCACACACACATGTAACGATGAAAGGGCTAACAATTGTCAAATAAAAAACAATGTTTGACATGTTCTTATCTGAATAAATAGTCCTGTAAAAGTAAGTATCTATGAAAGTTGTGAAAACACTTTTTACCAAGTCAAAATAAACTTAAAACGCCTTATTTGATTTTTCTTTTTTCTTCTAAATTTTAAACAATGCAAAAAGTATGTTTACTTAGACAAAGTTTATAACCATGAGTAAATTTCCTCTTGGCATGGGTCACAAGTTTTGTACATGTATGATATGTTTGTGAATCTAAATCTACAATACTACGTTCCATTCTGGCAGTAGGTTCATCAGGTTTTGAGTTACATATTTGTCTCTGTGCTTTAAGTGTCTCACTTTTTGCACTAACTATAGTTTTATAGTCCTTGGACTTTGCAGCTTTCTTTGTATTGTCTTCAGTTATATAGGATTATGTGGTTTCATGTTTACAGTTTATCTAAATCAGACATTATTACAATCTATAACTTTTTAGAGTATTATGCTTAAATTCAATAGAGAAAACTGTTCACATTTGTCCAGATACAATGACATACATGTATACCTTAGATTTTTTAGACAAACACAACTTGATTAATACAGTATATAAAAAGGGTCTTAGGCAAAGGAACTTATATAACACTAATTTGTTACAGTTTCAACACCTTACAATACAAACTCAACATGAATAACTTCAGTGAAAAGTACATATATCATCTATGTTTTGCTTATGTAAAAGAGAGGCGAAAGATACCAAAGGGATATTCAAACTCATAAGTCGAAAACAAACTGACAATGCCATGGCAAAAAAACGAAACCGCATTCGAGGAAAAGAGGATGGGATTGTGGTTACAACAATTAGTAATTGATCCCTTAATTTTCTTATGTATGTCAAGGGAAATATTAATGATACAGGTCAGTATTTCATATTGCCCAGTATTGCCCATGGCCGATGATACCCAGCAAAACCCATTTAAATCCGGGTTTTTACAGTATTTCCCACGGGGCCGGGCAATACTCATAAACCCAGGTTTTTTGCCAACCCTGTATCCAAACATGTTATCTATAAACAATGAAGTATATTGGTGATGTCAACTTTTTTTTGTCTAAATCAGATTTTTTTCTTTCACAAAATTAAAAGAATTTGTATTTGCGTTGACCATTTTTTCAAAGCTTGATTAAATCGTACAATCTGTCTATGTTTAGAATACGTGTGCAAAGAATAGAGAAGTCACATGTTTTATTTCAGTATCCACATCCGATTCACAACGCCCCAAGAGTACAT